GATATCCTAATTTTAAGGTTGTAAAAAAAATTATTGATGATTTTTGAGAAAGTTTTCAAGCATGGACACCTGTGCAACCATTAAAAGAATTGGGTCATCTGAAAAAAACCAGTCCTTTACTCATTCTTCTGACCTTTCCAACACATCCTAGTAGTAATCTGTATGTTGCAGATGTTTCCAGGCACGTCTAGCTTTACTCCCTCTTACTAGAACAAGAATATGGTTGCACAACCAGATAAAGATGTCATGCCCTATGAGAATCAAATTCTTACATAATAATACTGAGTTCGGTGTTTGTTACAGCATAGTATAATAAAATTTTAAATAACATTATTTCTACTGAGATTGTTTTGTTCTATATAGGACACTGATTTTTCTGTTAGGTGAACCAATGATCCATGAAAGCAAAAGAAATAAAGCTCTGTTTGAAGGTGAGAAAAAAAAAAAGTCAGTGCTCATTTCACTGAGCATCTGCTAGTCAATCAAAATATTTAGCTAAAGAGGAAACAAGTTTTCTATGGAAAGCTTGTAAATTTTTTTTTACAGTTCTTCATTCTCTGAATGTACAGAGTGAATGTGAGATCAGAAAACCTACTCTCTGATGCATCAGGTTTGACTTCAAAGATATTTTACAAGCAATCTGAATTAATATATTTTTGAAAGACTTTCCAGTTTACAACGTGGCTGATGAGTATTTATGACTGAATTTAATGAAGTTTTAGTGATATGATTTGCTTCTTTTTAATAAAAAATTAGACTTTTACAGTCTTTCTCGAAACTCAGAAAACTTAAACTAAAGAAAAGTCCTGACTGCTCTGTAGCCTCAAGTCAGGGCACTCCATGCCTTAGAGTTGCCATTCACTCTGCTGTGTGGTTTGTGAGACTACTGACAACTTCTGCTGGTTCAGTCTGTGTGTACCATAAAAATAATCATATCTCAAACAACACTGATTTATGGAAATTGAGACTTTGCTGTTGATGGGCAGCAATGGGAAATAATGAAGCAAGCAAATTTGAATTTGTTTGTATGGCAAATTATGCAGTGAATTGACTTTGAGATGAAATTTCCTTCCTTAAGATTCAATTTTCTTTGGGTTGGATATATAAAGTGGAAAATAAAATGCCTGTTAGAATTCATAGTGCCTTACATTATTAAGCTTAATACAAACAGTGATTAATTATTACTAAATAATTATTTATTGCTGCTTAGATAGACACTTATTTTGAATAGGTTGTTCATCCTATCCAGGACAGCCTGTGTCAGTGAATAAAGTACAAATGCTTCAGCACTGTGTTCAAGAGCTGAATAAACACTGTTATTACCGTATATTTTGAAAATATAGTAAATAAATTATGAGTAAAAGATCAATGAAAGACGGTTATGAATCCAGCTAGTTTTATTTGAGAATTCTAAAATAATAACTAATGTGATTTTTTTAATATTTCTGTATAAAATAAAGCTTTGAAAAAAATGTGCTTTAAAATTTGTTTCTATAGTTTAATACTTGAAGACTTTTTTTTTTATTTGGAGGTATTATACCTCTGAGCCATTTTGGAGCATTTAAAAAGTTTCAGGAATAGTTCAGTGAAGTGCAGTGCTGACCTCCGCACCTTCTATTTATGTCATCTAGTTGTAGATCCACTGAGTTAGCTTCAGCTGAGCCATAATCAGTATTTGCTTCTCATTTTGAGCTTTGAAAGATCTTATTACCTCCAGACTCTCATTTTTTTATCCTCATTCTTGAAATTTTTTTTTTTGTGATAAGGCTACCTCTTTCTTGCTCTTCATCAACATTTTCCAATACCTTATATAAATCTGGAACTTTGAGACTGTAAGTTGTAGATTCATAACCCTCATTCTTTAGGGGGGAGGTAGCAAAAATAAATAAATAATGCTAAAAGTAGTTTGAAACAAATGGCTATCTCTGTGTCTCAACAGCAGCTCCTTGCACCATCTTGTGAAGCTTTATAGCTTGCTCTTTGTTGTGTGAATAATAGAATGTTCTGAACTGCAGGCAAGGAACGCATTGTATTACTTTCTCTGCACAGGTCAAAGAAGGGTAATACAGGGGTTTGCATCTAGTTTTCTCACCTGAAAAAGAAATATAACATGGCCAACTTCTTGCCACTTGGAAACATTTTTCTAAAAGAAAATGTCTGATGCTTTGCTAAATGAAAAATTATACGGATTTTTCCTACTAACTAATCAGCTTACAGCATACTGTGGTATAAAATCAAAATACAGAAGTGGTACAATCTCTTAGTCCTTAGCATTCAGTATTATTTTAGCCCTAATGCTACCACTTTTGCTGACATTCAACATCAGGAACTCATGTGTGTTTTGCATAATCACAGTACAAGATGATCCTTTAAACCGCGGATTACCGTAGGTTAAAAACACCTGGTTCTGCATTATCTCTTTCGTTGGCTGGGTGGCTGGTCGTTGTGCAGCTTTGGTTGGCCTTTGTTGTGTAACTGCTCCTGGTGCTGATGAAAGGTACAGGTCAGTCTGAAATTAGCAGTGCTTTGCATCAGAGACAGCCACAGATACCAGGACACCTCTTGTGATTATTTCCTATTTGTTTTCCACCCATTTTCAAGATTCCTTGAAGGTGTTTTTTCTCCAAGGACACTTTTGTGAAATAGTTTGGTTGATAGCATTGTAATAGTATTTGTGGTAACTACCTGTCAATCATAGTAGCAGTGATATAAGAATTTAGAGGTTCCTTGTGTATGGTAATTCCAGATTACTGAAAAGGAATCTAGCACAGTGGGAAGGTTGTTACATGAATTTAAAAAGATAAAAGAAATTGGGAAATTTTAGCCAGATATGGTGAATACCATCATATGCTAAACAAAAATACATATAGCCTCAATAAAACTGAACATTTTTAGCACTTAGTATTCATATTTATTGCAAAACTGAGAATGTGTAAGACACAAATCACATTGTGGTACACAGGGAATTATTTTTAAAGTCTATTTCATGCAGTTTCTGAGTACCAGTTAGAGGTACTTTGCCAAGCACTTCTCTCAAATGCTAGTTAAGCCTAATCTCTCTAGGTTTCTCTTGGAATGAACAGTTTTAAAACTGGGAATTCTCGTGCCATTCTCAATCCTATGTTACTCTTCCTTTAGCATTTAATTACTGTTACATTTAATTATTGATATTCTCAGATCAACAATTTGTAAACTCAGAAGCATTTGCACAGATTAACATGGAAAAAAGGGAATTTATAAACCTGGATCTTTGGGATTATTCAGCCTAGCTTCAGCATGACCTAATTGTGGCCTTCCAGTACCTGAAAGGAGCTTACAAGAAAGACTGAGAGGGACTTTTTATGCAAGTGAATAGAGGTAGGACAAGGAGGAATGGATTCAAACTAGAAGACAGTAGGTTTAGATTAGGTATTAGGAGGAAGTTCTTTGCTGTGAGGGTGGTGAGGCAGTGGAACAGATTGCCCAGTGCAGCTGTGGTTGCCCCATCCCTAGAGGTGTTCAAGGCAGGCCAGATGGAGCTCTGAGCAAAACCTGGTCTAGTGGAAGATGTCCCTGTGCATGGCTGGGGGAGAGGAATATTGTGATCTTTAAGGTCCCTTCCAATCCAAACCATTCTATGGTTCTATGATCATCTGGTGAATACAAGAAGCAATTCTGAAATCTAATGTAATCCATATGCTCTGTGCAAGTCTGTCAAAAACTAGGCTCGCGATTCTGAAATGCTTAATGGCCAACTAAACTATCATTATTGTTGATTGCCATGAACCTTTACCAAGATGAACCTTGTTGCATGTCAGGAGGCTGGTATTAGTATGATAGAAGTGGCGTGGAAGTCAGTCTTGAAATGATGTGCTGGTAGTGTGTCCGTCACATGTCCATTGCACCAGGTGCTGTTGCAATGGAAGGACAGAGCAGAGATAGTCGTGGAGCCATTGCTGCCTCTATTCTTCTAGAAAGTCTAATGAGGCAACTGTTGTTGGTTTGTTTCTGTACCTCTTCAGATCAATTTTAGTTGACCAGATCGTGTTCTCAGGCACCACAAGAGGTTATGCATTGGGTTTAGGCTTTCTCAAGTCCAGTTTCAGTTCTTTTATTGAATAACTTTCTTTGACAATTTAACATTTAGGATTTATCATAACTTGCTTAAAATCAGGTATATACTACCATCTCTTGGAAATCTTCCATCAGGATAGATAATCTGTGTAAGAAGTGGGTTTACTCACTGTTTCTATAACAAATTTTAAAGTTATGAGTCTGGCTTTCTACCATCTATATCAAGTGTGATTAGCAGCATTCTAACAGAGTTAAAGGGGAGCCTTTAGATACTTCTGGAACAAAATAGTGAAATGCAGTATACATTTTATGCTATGCAAATTGCAACTGTTCTCGCTAAAACCTCTAAGCTAGCTCTGAGAGAAGGTAGACTATGAGGTTGTAAAAATGCATGGAAGTTCAATTAAGGTTGAAAAAGTGGATGAATGTTTTGATGTTATCTAATTATTGTTTCTATTTTTTTCTCTTCCTGTAATTTTATTCCAGCACTGTAATGGTATAAGTATATTTGCAAAGAGGTACTAACATTTAATATATTATCTATTAGATATTTGGCTTTCCATTTGGACAGAAATCTTAAAAAAACTATTTCATTGCTAAAGTGCTTCTGATTGGCATAAGACATCAGTTTTGTCCATATAACATCACAAAGAGGTTTTGACAGGAGTATGCATAAGTCTGCTCAGTGTGTGATATGCCATGGAGTAATAAGCCATAGTACTCTCTTTATTCTAGATGCATATTCTTAAGAAGGAAGGCACCTAATGAAATATGTTACTTTGTCTTTAATGACTGTCTTTACTGACATACTGAACAGGTTAAAACAATGAGAACTTTCTTAGCATTAACAAAATCTGGAGGTGAAGTTGATGGCACGATAGAGACCATTTTTATAGATGTGTTTTACCACATTACATCAACCATTCTGTTTCTTCCCTTTTTTTTAGGTTTTACTGGGACTTAATCATGCTCATAATGATGGTTGGAAACCTTGTCATTATACCTGTTGGAATCACATTCTTCACGGAACAAACAACAACACCATGGATTATTTTCAATGTGGCATCAGACACTGTTTTTCTATTGGACTTGATCATGAATTTTAGAACTGGGACTGTAAATGAAGACAGCTCTGAAATCATACTGGACCCTAAAATCATTAAGATGAATTACTTAAAAAGCTGGTTTGTGGTTGACTTCATCTCATCAATACCAGTGGATTATATCTTTCTCATTGTAGAAAAAGGAATGGATTCAGAGGTTTACAAGACAGCAAGAGCACTTCGTATTGTGAGATTTACAAAAATCCTCAGCCTGTTACGTTTATTGCGCCTTTCAAGACTGATTAGATACATACACCAGTGGGAAGAGGTAAGATTTATGGTTCTAACATCATTTACTAAGAACTTATTTCTACAGAACACTAGTCAGATCTCTCTGAAGAGGTACACAAGAACAAGAACGTAATAGAGTTTTTACTCACCAGTTGGTGTAATTACAAACAGGTGCTAGTGAAAAGGCCTTTTTGGAAAAAAATGGCTTAGATTAACCATCATCTCCCTGCTAATCACAGAGGCCAAAATATGTTTGGGACCATCAACACAATTAGCATGGATGAACTCCTAGTAAGAATACTGGGAATTTCAACAAACACCTAAATCTTCATTGGATTTTCGTGACTAGCACTTAAACTTACTAAGTTAATACTCTTGTAGTCAAGAGAATTTAAAATACATGTTCATATTTTTCTATTATAGGAGAAATTGAAATAATTTACTATTGAGTAGATTTCCTAGAATTCTCCTTGTTTGAAGGCTGTATGTAGTCTGAATATATCAAATACTGGCCTTCTTTATGAAAAATGGGTAGTCCAAATTTTGAGTCATTGCCTTCTGAACTGCCAACTCCACTGTTTCCAGATATGATGTTATGCTGCCTGCCAGTTTGGCATGCTGCCTTTTCCAGGAAATTATGGCATTCCCTAATTTGGCATACTCATGGCTAGGAAGTATCTAATGCTTTGGCACATACCACCACGATTCAGTCATTTTGTTACTTGCCTGTCCTCATTTCTGTAATTCTAAATATCACAATGTTTTAAACAGAAGTGTTAAAACCATAGGAAAAAACACTGCTGTTTTCTAAACCTTTCTTGAAGTAAACATAATGAGAATTATTTTGTAGAGCATTATCATGGAATCAATTAAAATTGATTTCCATAAATCAATTTGATAGAGATTTATTTAATTAAATTAATATTGAGGGAAGATTTGGTACCGTTTCTGGTGCTTTTTCTGCTGGTAATCTCCAGTATGGTATGCACTTTCTGGCTTAACAGAAACCTAAATGCAGCTCCATCTCACAAATAAAGTCAGATTATGTTTTAAAGTGATATGATGCTGGATGATCCTAAGTATCGAAAGTCTATATAAATAAATTTATAGTTGTTTCTTAAAATAACCTCTGAAATAGATAATTATTTTTTATTTTGTAAATTCTACTTCTTTTTGCCTCTCTGTAAAGCAGTGTAATAGTTTTTTTGCACAGAAATAGAGCACTATAGTTTTGTGCTGTTTAACTAAGGCAAATGATTAAGCATATTTTGCAGTTCTACCATAAAGCTGTGCTTTTGTCTCCTCTGTGCTTTACAAAGAGACAACCTTCTGAAATCCATTCAATGACATTATTTTCTGGCAGCTCAAATTATGAGCTTGCCACTATAAATGCCTACTAGGCAGAGAAATGAATTCCTTTTTTCCTCCCTTCTGTATATTGTCAAAGAGAAATCAGGTATTCTAAATAAAAATAGTTGAATAGGCCACTAAGTGGGACTAGAAGTGACCAGTGGATGTGGTCCAAACCAGCAATAGTTGGTGTTTGGTCCATTTAATCTTTAGCTAATGATGTTTGGTTGCAACTTCACCTTTGATTCCATTAGTAAAATTTGTGAAATATGTCCTCAGGAAGGTTGTTTTGTTTGCTTGGGGTTTTTTTGAGCATGCAGTAGAGCAGTGAGAAGGTTGTTTGGTGCTTTTGCAAAAGATTCTCATATGCAGGAACAAGATATAAATGTGTAGTCTGAATCAGGCTCTGATAAATGAAATGTGTGCAAAAAAAAAGGGCTTTTTTGGTCTGTTTTTATTTTTGTTTAGCATTTTACAGAGATCAGAAATGAAGGAGGTCATGGATTGTCATATATGGCTTTGGAGAAAATGTGTGTTATAATAATATTTTCAAACAAACAAACAAAAAAGCTGGGTAAGGATGACCTTTGCGGAACTGGGAAACAATGGATGGATGATCCTATAGGGGTAGTCAGTGAGACTTTGCTTCTGATATTCATGTTCTCTATATGTGCGTGTTTGGACATGGACAACAAGGAGCAACTGTTAACTAATTTTTATGACACAGAACTGGAGCCTATTTGCATGTGGTTAAAAGGATTTAATAGTTTTTGCTTAGGGGCTGACATATTGGTTTTAAATGTGGTGCAGATAAATCTGAAATATATGTATTTGGATCAAAAATAGTGAACATTATGTCTCAAATATTCAGAGGACAGTCAGCAAACTCATTCTTCATAACATGCCAAGAGGATACTTCATGGAAAACTGATTGATGAACAAATCAAGTTGTACCATAAGGCAGCTATCCCACTGAGGTATTTCTATATCCTCAAAGAGAAAAGGGACGTTGACATTGTTTGAGCCTTTCCTTTAGGTATCAGTAAGACTTCAGCTTCAAGGTCAATATTCTGAACTTTAGGATCAGTGGTTAAAAATTTAAAAGATTTTTGTATGACACTGGTGAAACATTGTTCCTTTATTTATTTCCACCTCATTTAAATCAATTAAATCAAGATCAAGCTGCTAACAGCCACACAGAGTAATATTGAGGTAAATAATGTATGCATTGCAGAAGCTTTCTCTGCATTAAGTGGTTTGATGGAACAGCTGTAGCCTGTGGTGCAATATATATGAAATCTGATTGATATATTCATATCAGTCTGATGTTAATTGCTTATCCAAATGAATGGCTCAGTGGAAATAGGAAGCAAGACTTCAAGAAAGGGACAGGAGACATCTTGGCAGGAAATAATTTACTGAATTTGCAAATGCACACTTTCCTAAAACTGCTTTTGAGCTACGATGTCTAATATTCCAGTCCTTTGAACTTAGGTGTTGACATATAGATCACATACTTACTTAAGCTAAATTATATGTAATAACATGCAAGAAAAAAAATATTTAAATTGATAATTACAGAAATTATACTTTTGCAGTAATTTGTGACGGGGGTTTGCTTTTGATTTTTTTTTTAACCTAGGTTCCTAAAAATACTGAACAGGAGGTACAGGACCTAATTGTTATTTACTTTAAGTTTTATGAGACTGACTAAACTGCTTGAATGTTAAACATAGGTTTACATGCAACTAGTAAGTTATTCTTAGCTAAATATGCTCATAGATCAATGAACAATTAAAAATAAAAGATATAAACAATTACAAATAAATACATCATTACATGTCAAATGATATGCCACTTTACATTTGTCAATGCTATTAATTTACTGATTATTTAAAATAAAAATATTTTCCAAAAGCTGCTTAAAACTCAGACTTCAGTAGTTCTGCTTACAGATATTCTGATCACAGGACAATACTTAGCAAATGTATGAGTAAATAGAATTGGTTCTTCTAAAAATGTGCTCTAAGTCTTTCTTGTTCTCAGATATTTGATTATGTAGAATTAGAACAATTTTTAAAGTGAATTAATGCTTATTGCAACATGGGCAATAAAGGTTATGTTTTGCAAAAAATCATATAGTAAAATATGCAAAAAATTGTAAATTGCAGCCATGTCCTTATTTGGTTTAACTTGTATTGAAATCTGATTTTCAATTTGCCAAACCTTTTTGAGTCTCATAAACCTACATAAGTGTCGATATTCACTCTAGCTGTTGCTAAAGCACTGGTGCTTAATTAAACATGTTTCTGAGCATATCACACTGACATATTTTGGTTTTGCTATTTTATTTCTGATAATCAGAGTGATGCTGATTCGCAAAAGCTCATAAATACAAGCTTGCAGGAATGCTAAGTCTTACTAAAGTGCTTAAAAATTAAGTGTGTAAGAGCTTTGCAAAATCAGGTCCTGCATTAAAAATTTCATATGTTGCTTCCATGCTACCGACCCTGAGCATCACAGACTACCACTAGGTGTCCTCTCCTTGTTCTGTTTTTTGCCGGTACATGTATTAGGTATCTCTATGATGTTGAATCATTATTGTTTCCTAAATAAAATTACTGTAAAAGGACACTTGTGTTATCCAGACAACAGAAGAAAACTTCTACTTCAGTATCCTGGTGTTTCTGTGGTAGGTCTACAGATGGCTTTTGTTCCCTATAAGAAAACCAAACACTTTTCCTTTCCCTTACAGCCTTAAGAATTCAAGGTTTTTTTATCTCTCCTCTTGATTACTGACTGGGGAATTGTGTGGGAAGGGAGAGAGGATGAGTTAGGTGGGTACTTCGTGGTGTTGGATGAAAACACCACCTTTACTGATTGGATTAATTTTATTTTATTTTATTTTAACAGGGCTGGGTCTACAAGACATGGGGTTTTCTTGTCAATGATGGTGTTACACAGTTTAACTTCTTAAATGAGTAGTCTTGTGGAAACGGGAATTGACATCATATTTTTGCTTTCTTTTCATTTAATTTTAATTCCTCTTCTCCAGGGAGATAGTTTAAAATATATTTTCTAAGCCCTATAAAGTTGTGTCAATTAGTCAAGTACTGCAAATAAGCACACCAGTAGAAGTTGAGTGGCAATTTTGAATTAAATTAGCTTAAAGTAGGACACTTTTTTATTGCCTTTTAGAGATACATTAACCAAATATGAGTTGTCTGTCTCATAAGGGATGAGGGAAGGATAGTTGTTAAGTAACTCTAGGGGAAAGAAGATGTAGGAAAGTCCACCTTTTTTACTGGCACAAAGTCTGTGAGTTCTGCAACAAAGCCTCTGTATTGATGTCATCTGCCTTCTTATCATTTAGAAGATGGAAGTAGGAGAAAACACCTATTTCTGTTGGAAAGTCATGCTTGAAAAATGCCTCATGTATAAATTAGTGAATTTGTGTCCTCCCTCATAAAGACTGTGGTTGGGGTCACATTGTGTGCATTGAGGAGAAATATCAAAAGCCCAAGTTGTTTTACACCTTTTCCCTCCCCCCAAGAAGTGTTCCCTATCAGGACTAGGTAAATATGCAAGCAGCGGGGAATTGTTCATATCGTTGTTTAGTGTGCATATACTGGCATGTGTATGTATTACACAGCTGACTTTCATTTATTGCTGGGCTGTATCTCAAAT